AGAGAGGGGGGTAAGTGAGTTCATTCGTGCTGTTGGCAGGCAGCCATGAGCTTGCCTGTGGGCGTCTGTATCCGTGCCAGGGCATGTGTTTCCCCTTCTGTCTGAGGGCCTATAGTCTCTCACTCTCTTTCTCATACAGATATCTCGCCTTCTCTTTCTCATTCCACAGGAATACTTTCCCGGTCTTTTGCTGTTCCTACTCTCTCTTTTCTCTCTTCCTCCTTTCTTGTTATCCTTCACACTCTCTCCCTCTCTCTCTTTCTCTCTCTTTTTGTTGTAGCAGTTGTTGTTCACAAAGCTGATGATGCCAGAGAACAGTGGTAAGTTTGTTTCCAGATTTCCACAGCTCATACTGTGCCAGTAGATCAGCCAAACCGGACACATGTGCAATTCACACCCAGTGTCTTTCTTTTTAAATAAATCTTAGTTCTCTGGACTCATTCATGTGAGTCTGGTCTGTGGATCCTTTCAACAGGCACATGATTAAGCCCATAATGCAAAATGTATGCTAATTGTAAACCATTACAAAAACAAAGCTAATTTTAAGATGACAACCTCAGTGTGATTTCATTGAAAGTTTCTTCTGATGTACGAGAATTAGCATCGTCTGTCATCACCAGCTAAGTACATTTGCTTTCCGTCTATACAAATGTGTCATGAAGAGATGATTATGATCCACAGGAATTATGTTAATAATAAAGAGGCTCCTCCTTCAAGAGAACTTCCAAATCTAAAATGCTATTTAAATGCAATTTAGAATTATTTTTTCATCTATTTCCAATAAATGCTCTTCTTGTGAACTTTCATTAAAGAATCCTGGAAAAAATGCATTATAGTTTCCACAAAAATATTAAGCTAAAATATTTATAATAAGAAGAAAATGTTTCTTGACCACTAAATCAGCATATTAGAATGATTTCTGAAGGATCAAGTGGCACTGAAGACTGGAGTAATTATTCAGCTCTGAGCTCTGCCATCACATGAATAAATGATATTTAATAATAATAATAATAATAATTAATTAAATAAATGCAGCCTTGGTGAACACCAACTTTCAAAAACATCAAAAATATTTCTGATCCCCAAAATTTTAACAGTAGTGTATCTGTTAGATGTGGTTATTTTCGGCATCACAACTCGTGCAAATCATAGATATAACCCAGAGTTTTCCTGAGGAGGTCTTATTGCGAAAACAAGAATTACTTATCAGACTTGTGTTGTCTGTGAGTTGTGTGATTGATTTGACACTGCAAGTGGGTTCATGTGTTAGAGTCTGCGACTTGCCTTCAGGATGACAAAGACTTTTTGTTTCACCTCAGAGATCCAAACATTCCTGGACTATTGAATCTCCTCCCCCAGCACACATACACCCAGCACAGTAAAGCATTCTGCTCTTTCCGTGTAAATCATTCAGTGACAGACAGGAAGGAAGAAGGATGGTAGTATGCTCCTCTTTGTGTAGTAAAAGGGCCACAGGGGTTTAGAGCAGAGGATCTGACTTCGTTTTAATGTCAACGTATTTGATAACACTCAAGGACCTTGTTTTAGGTTGTAATGTACAAATAGAGACACACAACTGTTCTATGTCTATACAGACTGACTTCTCTCACATGGTAATTTGTGTGTCAATGAGAGAGAGGTCGTGGGGCCCCTTGAGATGGCAGTGGGTTTGTGTGTTTATTGAGCAGTACAGCTAATGACGCGCAGCAACCACAGGGGGAAAAGCCCATTCAGAGAAGTGTGTCTGTTTGCATTTGTTTATTAGTGTGATATCACCACCTCCAGTTTATCTGAAGCCATAGACTGTAAAGGGCTGTTCTTTAACTTTTAACTAAACCGCCTGATGGAATTAGAGGGTTTGTAAATGTCACTCCATTGGATGTCCAGTGGTAAAAACTAAAGGTAGCTGTTTGGTTGGTCTACTAACTTTCTACCTACCACTGAACACCACAGATCTGTATGTCATCATTGTTCCCAAGATACCTTTCTTCACATGAGCTGTCTTTTGCTGCTAACTCGGAGGCGGCATGTTGTAGCTGTAAATGACATCATAGTCAGATCCAAGTTGACCACGTTCCACTGCACAGGTCAGAAAACAAAGATGGACACGTTCAGGCAAACCTTTATTGTGCTTGCTCTTTCAGAATACAGATGCATAAAAAAGCGGTAGATTGCACAGATAATCCTTAATAAGTGTAGATATAAGTGTCATGTACACAAATAGAGGTTGGATATAGTGTACCACTGAGTTTGAGACCCAGACAAACAGAAGTGCGAATAAATAATATACTGCTGTTTGAATATGGTCGATGCACTGAGAACGGCCATATTTGATTCCGAAGTCAGGGTTTTTGTGCTTCCCCCTAGTTTTCCAGTCGCAACTCTTGACTTGATTGGGCCGTTCCAGTTAAAAGTTTATACTGGGGAGTGGGGACTTCCCCACGTATGAGGACGATTATTATTATTATTATTTTTTTTTACCTTTCATCTGATTGGTCAAACCGCTCCGCCTTCAGTACAAGCTTTTCTTTCTGTCAGGCAGAATAAAAGTCAGTAGTTTGGCACTGACAAATGCACTTTAATTAAATAATGTCTGAAACCACCACTCACTGTTAACTACTCACTGTTTTCGTGCTGGAATTAGCCAATCTGTCTCCACTCAGGATCGGTCACTTATCTGTTGCATGGCTGCCAGTTTCTCTGTAGTTTGTTAAACATGCTATTTGAGCAACGAGAACACAAATGAATAATACAATTCTGAACATCCTCCATAATAGAGCCCGAACGATAAAGGATTTTGAAGGCCGATACCGATACAAATATTTAAATTCCGATATATCGGCCGATTTTTTTTCCAGAAACGCGCAACAAAACATTAACAGATTTCCCTAACATTAGTTATTTGTAGTTATTTATGAGTTTTAACTAAAGTAATATGATCATGCATTTTAATAAGAAACTTTTCTTTATTGTCACAACAGAACAGACTGATGATAGTGGCATTAGCTAGCTCTGTGGTTTGCTAGTCTATGATGAGCCATAGTTTAGCAAATTGTAAAACATACATTTTCAATATAACAGGAGAGATGATACGTCTCATTGCTATAACTGTCACACTCCTATTACAGAAATACTTCAGTCACATTGTCAAAATTTAAAAGGACAGTCAGTCTGCTACACTGTAACAATGTACCGTAATTATTACTAGCTAATTCCGCTTCACTCTCGGCAGCAATACTGGACATGATAGTCACAAATTTGTCATGTTTTTTTCAGTTAAGAGAACTGATGGGGATGTTCTTTTAATTGTTATTCAAGCAATGTATATCTCGTGACCAACTCAACGAGTGTTGCCAACAGGGATGGCGTAGAGTGCCCTCTGGTGGACAAACTATACAACTCCAACACTCATGACATGGTTCAAGAGTGTTTCGTCCGTTTTTATTTTATTTTTGAAATATTCATTTATCGGCCATTATAACTGCCGATACTGATAGTGCCTAATATCGTCCGATAATATCGGCCTGCCGATATATCGGTCTGGCTCTACGAAACCATATCCATCGAAACAGCATGGAACGGTTAAGCAAAGAGAACGGTTTGGCTAGACTGTGGAAAAGTGGCTAACGAGAAGAAAGATACACCTGTGACGCCAGACACGCTTGTCTTGGGTTTCAAAAACCTGTTTGCGAAGTGCTTGACCGAAATGTATGCGCTTAATTATTTTCAAATACATTTTAAAAAATAGTATTGTTATTAATTATATTAATGTTGTTTGGTTGATATTATCTCTAGTTTTGTGCCACCTGTTGAAGACCGCTTTAGTGAAACCCAAATGAAAGGGCAAATGGTCTGCTGCTATTTCAACTTGCTTCAGCTTTCTGTGCTGTAGGAACATCCATCATACCACACAAGTAGGCCTGTATTTTAATTAAACAAATTACACTACTTGGCATCATGTTACAAAACAACCCTGTGGGTAATATCTGTTCACGATAGTTCTTGTAAGGTCTCTGCTTTAATATTATGTGAACCTATCCTGTAGTCACACTTGCTTGCGACTTTTTTTGCATAAGCATTGTATTCATGAGCATTACCTGGTGTGTTTTTGGGATCCATCCGTGTTGGGTTGGAACTTGGAACCTGGTGCTTTGCTTTTCTTGTCTCCAGTCCAGTTCAACAGAAAACAGTGTTGATGAGCACCTTGTGGAAACACCACCTCTGATTTTGACACCATCAAAGTTTTAAGACTGCAGTGTGTTCCCAGCCCTCCAGTCTCTCCTGCCTGACTGTTCAATGGTGCTTAATATAGGATTAAATATTAGATTAAAACATGGATTAAATGCATTTTATCGAAACATAGATATAAATGCAAAGTACTTCTTTGCTGCAGTTTTATTCTAGTTCAGTTAATATTTTCTTATCCATCTCAATAGAACGTTGAATAACTGCATGGGTTAAGCATGTATTACAGTATGATCTTTTGCTTGTTTTCACAAAGTACATCAATATTATATGATCCAGGCATTGTTTAATTCGATTTGTCTGTCCTCATTCAAATAGGTTAGAGTTGTATAAAAAATATTAGCCATGCAGGGATGTTAGTTGCTGTTTAAACTGACTTGGTTTAAAGGGACTTTAACTTTGTTTAGCCATAATGTGTATTTTTGTTGTACCTGTGAAACAGGCAGTTTTAGCATGCAGGACAGCTCACCATCTGCCTTAATGAGGCTAGAAAGAGATGAGAGGGGGATACAGAGTGATCCATTCATTCACACAATTTGCCGACATGTATCTGGCCAGCAGCAGGTGTTTTCTCTCTCTCTCTCTCTCTCTCTCTCTCTCTCTCTCACTTGTGATCAAACTCTCAGTTGCCCTTCCTTGTTGTTTTCTTAAATTAAGTGCAGTTAATCCCCAGGAGGTTGTTTTTGTGTCAATAAATGTTATTATTATTGTCATTAACAATTAATCTACCATGCTTTCTCTCTTTTTCTTTCCAGGTCTGTGACTGCCAGGAGTCAACATCCCATGATGCACAGCGTTTGTGACAAGACCACACTCACTTTTAAAGTGTAGAGGAAGTTGCATCGTCAGCATGTCCTCGCACCCTCAGCCAGTGCCTCAGGGGCGGAGGCCTGTGGACACTCGTCACCTTGCTAGTTCTGTATCTCTGCAGCTGAGAGCCCATACGGTACTGCACTCACTGTCTACAAAACAAAAACCTAAATCCATTTTCTTTTAATTTCTTATACAAAAAAAGCATTCACTTTTGACGATTGAGCAAAAAAGTGTTACACTAACTGTTATACACTCACCTAAAGGATTATTAAGAACACCATACTAATACTGTGTTTGACCCCCCTTTTGCCCTCAAAAATGCCTTAATTCTACGTGGCATTGAGGCTGTACTCACACTAGGCACGGTTGCCATGAACCGGGCCCGAGTACGATTGTCCCCAGCACGGTTAGCCCTCACACTGCATGCGAACCGCGCCCGAGTCCAACTGAACCGTGCTCTGGCCCACCTCTTCCAAGCGGGCCAGGGCCGGCTAATCGAGCCGCGCCCGGGCACGGTTCGGAGCACTAGTCAAACAAACCGTGCTTTGGTGGTCAAACGCACTCGGGCACGGTTCAAACTGGCTAGTGTGAGTACACCCTGATTCAACAAGGTGCTGAAAGCAGTCTTTAGAAATGTTGGCCCATATTGATTGGATAGCATCTTGCAGTTCATGGAGATTTATGGGATGCACATCCAGGGCACGAAGCTCCTGTTCCACCACATCCCAAAGATTCTCTATTGGGTTGAGATCTGGTGACTGTGGGGGCCATTTTAGTACAGTGAACTCATTGTCATGATCAAGAAACCAATTTGAAATGATTCAAGCTTTGTGACATGGTGCACTATCCTGCTGGAAGTAGCCATCAGTGGATGGGTACATGGTGGCCATAAAGGGATGGACATGATAAAACAATGCTCAGGTAGGCCGTGGCATTTAAACTATGCCATATTCCCACTAAGGGGCCTAAAGTGGCCCCACACCATTACACCACCACCACCAGCCTGCACAGTGGTAACAAGGCACGATGGATCCATGTTCTCATTCTGTTTACGCCAAATTCTGACTCTGCCATCTGAATGTCTCAACAGAAATCGAGACTCATCAGACCAGGCAACATTTTTCCAGTCTTCAACTGTCCAATTTTGGTGAGCTCTTGCAAACTGTAGCCTCTTTTTCCTATTTGTAGTGGAGATGAGTGGTACCCGGTGGGGTCTTCTGCTGTTTTAGCCCATCCGCCTCAAGGTTGTGTGTGTTGTGGCTTCACAAATGCTTTGCTGCATACCTCGGTTGTAACGAGTGGTTATTTCAGACAAAGTTACTCTTCTATCAGCTTGAATCAGTCGGCCCATTCCCCTCTGACCTCTAGCATCAACAAGGCATTTTTGCCCACAGGACTGCCACATACTGGATGTTTTTCCCTTTTCACACATTCTTTGTAAACCTTAGAAATGGTTGTGCGTGAAAATCCCAGTAACTGAGCAGATTGTGAAATACTCAGACCGGCCCGTCTGGCTCCAACAACCGAGCCACGCTCAAAATTGCTTTCTTTCCCATTCTGACATTCAGTTTGGAGTTCAGGAGATTGTCTTGACCAGGACCACACCCCTAAATGCATTGAAGCAACTGCCATGTGATTGGTTGATTAGATAATTGCATTATTCTGAACAGATAGTTCCTAATAATCCTTTAGGTGAGTGTATAATATGTTATAGTAATCTGTGTCTGTGACTATCATTACTACTAAGCATGCACACACTTGTGTGTACAATATAAATCGGAACACTGGCCCTGGTGTTTGGCTCAAATTTGCTAACAGAGGATTATCTAGTTTAGGATATGACCTGTTAATCATGTGAGATTTGACCCTCAGCCAGCATCTTCATTCTGCAGATTACCGTTGCTCTTATTAACCCCACTGACATCTAGATCAGTGAGACTTAACCCTAGCCAGCCAAGTTGAACACATCCTCATCCAAATCTTTGTTCATGTTATGTCCTTTCTCTGACACAAATCAGATTGTTTTTGTATACCATTTGACTAAAAAAAAATTGGTCATTCTTAATATTAGTCTAAACAATTTTTAGCCTAAACTAGCAATATAACTAGCAACTGTGTAACACTTCCGAGTTTTAGACTCTTAATTAAAGTTTATTGTAATTGATGGATTAGTTTTCGGAGTAGGTGCATGCCTGATATGACGTGAGCAATTTCTTGCTATAAGTAAGACTTTAAGCTGTAACTAAAGGGCTGTATGATATCTGTAAGCATTGGGTTGAGTACCAAGGACTTAGACTAATTATTCTCAGATTTAGCATTTAGATTTTTTTCATGTTGTAAGAAGTATGATTAAATCTGAAAAACTTTCATTTAATGGACAATATTATCATATAGCTTATACTTCAGCTTGCCACATATTTTATGCAATTTTATTTTCTGAGTTTGTGAAATGTGTGCTTCCTTTTAGGATGTTAGTGGACTGGTGGACTACCACCCTCATGCTCGTGACTACGGCTCCCATCTGCCCCATGGATCCCTTTCCCAGCCTCACCGCCGTAGGCCATCCCTTCTGTCTGAATTCCAGCCAGGCAGTGAAAGGTACACACAAACAAACATTTTGTGGCTGTCACAGTTGCTTTGCATTGAGATCTTGTCTATTCAGTCCTGTCCATTTATGGTTGTGACCACAATGACCAACATAGAAGACACTTTCACTCTCATTTAAGATGCTGCTTGAGGGAAGCATTTAGTATTACTGGACATAAAGTCATGTTTTATCACTGCCCTTGTCAATTTTACTCTGCATTACTGCTCTTATGTAATGCTTATGCAATGGATCTGTAGAATGTCACATTCTAAATGAGTGGATGAATTTTCTTTTAGCATGATCTCTGAAGTGTTACTCTTGTAGGAATGCCTGTGCAATCCTATTAAAATAAGCTGCCATATTAGTTTAGTTTGCATATGTTGCCATAAACATTCTCAAACCAATAGTTTTTAACTTCTCAAAAAATTTGAAAATTCTGGAGATTCCCTCAAACATTGATTCACTTCAGCATACTGATTGAATATTTGTAATAAATGTGGAGTAATTTAATCCACATATATTATAATATCAAATCAATAATTTTAAAACTTTTTGTGAGATGCAATTTCACAAACAGCATGAGTGTTTATCGGTGCTGCTTCGTCTTCTTTTTCCCGTCTCACAAAATATGTTGCACAATGCAAGTGTCAAGCGATACTACTCGCGTTTGAGAGTCGGGACATGATGGAATTATCGCTTGCACAATCGGGCCTGCATCCTGCATCGCAAATGCATTGCATCATAACTAAAGTTGATAATTTTCACATCTTTTTAAGTCTTACCAGTTTAAACATTTAAGCGATTTTAAACTATTCAGTACTCGCGCTATCGGAGAGATGGATTTCTCTGCGTGCACACAAATAGCTCGCCAGTAGCAAAATAATGTTATTTTTCACTGATTATATTGCTCTATCGGGAAAAAATTCATAAAATTGTGTACATTTTGGTCTTGGTTAGTATGCTCGTTAACACAGTCGGTTATGTCTTACTGTAAATAAGCATAAAATGCGTGACAGTGTGACAGACAGTATAATGAAAACAGTAATGGATCCGTGCTTTAGCCTTTAAAGTGACAGAAGCCATAAGTGTCTGTCTTTAATATTGTTGTCAAAACAACAAAAGATTGCTTTTAAATTGTTAGTTCGCCCAAAAATGAAAATTATGTCATTAATGACTCACCCTAATGTCGTTCCAAACCCGTAAGACCTCCGATCATCTTCGGAACACAGTTTACGATATTTTAGATTTAGTCCGAGCGCTTTCTGTCCCTCCGTTTAAAATGTATGTACAATATACTGTCCTTGTCCAGAAAGGAAATAAAGACATCATCAAAGTAGTCCATGTGACACCAGTGGGGTTAGTTAGAATGTTTTGAAGCATCAAAAATACATTTTGTTCCAAAAATAATTTTCTTCCAGTTCTGTTGTCAATGTTTCTTTTTAGAACAATTCACACCCAGCGGTAATTCAAGAAAAAATCTCTGAATACTCCACATGAAACTTCGGTCTTACGAACATTTGCCATCGTGTCAATTGATTTTGATTAATATGAGCGAGGGAGAGAGAGCAAGATTGATGGATGAGCAAGTTTGAAGATGGTGAGAGTGTGCACGTGACTAGGGCTCTCTCTCTGCTCGTTCTTTCAGTTAACATGGGCCGTCACAAGCGCAGCAGTCATCATTACTCACCGATCAAATAAGGCTTTGGCGGGGCAAAAATTCATTTCGGTGGCCGCCAAAGAAATGTCAATGCAGGAAAAACCGTATGTGGGTGTATTAAGAATAGAGGTGTTTCTTCTCAGTCTGAATGCTGAATGTTGTGTGTGTGTGTGAGCTGAGGTGTATAATCAGAGCCCAGTACAGTGGAACTGGATGTTCTCACAGGAGATGAACTAACACCCCCTGAGATTCAGAGAGCTGCTGGTAGAATGGATTAACTGGAATGCTGAAGTGATTGTGTGTGGGTGGGTAAGATGTGTATTTCTGCTCTTCCCCACTGCGGAACGGTTCGCTTGCTTTTTTGATGGTTGTTCGACAGTAAAAATTAAAAACAATTAGTGCAAATTAAACATTGAGTGCAAAATAAAATTAAAAATTTCGTAGCATGCACAATCACATCTTAAAATAACTGTTATGGAGTAGTAAGGCTGCACAATATGAATCAAAGGATCGAATGCACCTGGATCAATTTGTAGACCTTTTTTATTTTGATCTTTAAGTTTTGGCTATGTAAATTGTGGTCTGCCTTTGGTCTTTTAAAGACATGAGCCTTTTTTTTGTCGTTTTGTGATGACATAAGTGATAAGGGTTGAAACAGTGTTTTGTGGTCTAACCCCCTTTTAGCCTCTTCAGAACGAGTGATAATAAGGGATAGAGGGAGATCAAAGCAACATGGATGGAAAGGAAAAGGGTTGGCCTACCGTGGTGTTTGAAAGTGTGCATGTTAGGCATGGGCGGTATCCAAATTTTCATACCGTCAAACCTCCTCCCTATTTTACTGCGGTATACGGTATTACCGCGTGACTAATTAAAAATTACGAGATAAGGCTCAGACGGCATCACACATGATGACACGTTCAACCAGAGAGTGTGGGTTCCAATAGTGCATCTAAAAGCTGTCAATCAACTATTAGAAAACAGGAGATACACATTGTCTCACACCAGAGAATGTGAGCAGAGTGGTGATATTTCCTCTAGAGGGCAGCGCATTTCTGAAGATCACGCGCCACGAGCTCTCGACGCGAGCCGAGTGGAGCCGAGATAAAATTATTTATTAATAAACTAGTGTTTTCTATGTCAGTTGCTGCAAAGATAAAGATTGCATTGACGATGCAAACTGGCATCTTCATGGTATGAAAACACGAATAAAGAGTAGCCTAATGCACACTTCATATGAATAAGCCTATAGCAGAGAGCAGCCCATTTCTTTTAGCTTGTAATTGTTTTGTTTAAAAGTATAGACATTTCAAGCTTACATATATATACACTTCTCAGATCATTAAGACATGTATCTTATATGCCGAGTTTCAGTTCATGTATGAATCGCGCTCCAGTCACGCGTCGGCGCGTGTCCTGATTACTATTTTTGCTTTTTATTTATTAGCCTAATCCAGGCAATTCGTTGATGAAAAAAATAAAATAAATGAAGATGCAATTTATTCAAAACGAAATTCGTTTTAAAGAAAGGCTTTGTACAAAACAAAACGTAATAAGTGGTCATAATCATGTCTGACTGACCCAACGTGTTTTCTCAATTGCTGCAAAGATAAAGATTGCATACGAACTCGCATCTTCGCGGTAGTGAACGCGAATAAAGAGTAATGCACACTACATATGAATTAGCCTAAACATAAGCAGAGAGCAGCCAGTTTCTTTTAGATTGTTAAAGAAGACATTTCAAGCTTACTATATACACTTCTCAGATCTTGTTTCTTATGCGAGGTTCAGTTCATGTATGAGTCGCGCTCCAGTCACGCGCCGGCGCGTGTCCTGATCACTATTTGCTTATTATTAATTAATCCAGCAATTCGTTAATGAAAAAAAAATTAAAATGAAGATGCAATTTATTCAAAACGAAATTCGTTTTAAAGAAAGGATTTCTACAAAACAAAACGTAATAAGTGGTCATAATCATGTCTGACTGACCCATTCCAAATGTTTTCCGCTATTGCGCATTTTATGATCATCTCATGAAGTTCCCTTTTCATAAAATCAACATACATAGAAAAACATCATATTATTAAAAAAATATGAAAGGAATACGTTTTTTTTTTTCAAACCTAGCTTATATTTAAGCGTCACACGGTCCGTCCCGCTGTAGACTACATGCATGTGGCGTGCATGTGGTGGTGGGGCACAATTTTCAAATAATAATCGAATAATACCAGGCAATCTTTAAATATTATTTTTGCTTGAAATGCCCATCCCTGCCAAACTGCAGAAGTCGTGTTCTTCTTTGAGATCAAGTCACTCGCTGCGCAACTTGCAATCTTTGCCCTCTCTCCTCCACTCTCTCGTCACCACACTGTCACGTCATGAGAACCAGACATAAGCATTTTAGCCATTAAATAAATTGTATTTAAAACATTGCACTTATATAGGAGACAAGGATTCATTGTCTCCTATTTAAGTGCATTGGTTATTTTTTTTCTGACGGTATGACGATATTGAAAATGATACCGTTGCGATTTTTAGATCCCGCGGTATACGATATTACCGTAATACCGCCCAAGCCTAGTGCTAGTGAAAGTGAGATGGAATGATGGCAGTAGAGGGAGGAGAGACAGAGAGCATGGCAGCAGTACAAGAGCAAAGTTCCTCTATAATTGTTCAAACACTCAGCACACATGATCTGTCCTCAATTCAGAATGAGGTCAGGGGCCAGTTAAACCTCTCTGTGTCACTCTCTTGACTGTGTATGACGAATCCTGCCTGTAGATCAGATTATCTTGCCCTCTCACAGAAAGAGAGCAAGAGCATGGATGGAAGCTGCAGTGTAATACGATTATGTAAGTTATTGAAATTGGGTGATTTTGGTTATAGTGTATAGTTTCACAGATTGTGTTTTGCTAATGTACGTGCTATGTTTGCTTTGGTTTAGATTAGTTCCACCAGTGTTAGTTCCACCAGTTATTTTGATAATAATCTCCAACATATTATGTTTTAACAATTTTTGTTGAAACAAATTTACACAGACATGTTGTTCAGATGTGAAGGTTTAAACTAAAAACATCTATAATATATAATTCATTAAAAATTTTTTATTTAAAATTAATTGAATTATATGGATACATTGATAAAATAAATACAGAAAGACAAAACAAGCGTGTGAACGTAGAGCCGCAGTAGATCGCGTTTGAAAAACTTAATAGTAGACAAATGCCTTAAAAAGAGAACGGAATGGAGGTACGCACTGTGCCCTCAATTACACATATGATGTTTTTCAATTTAAAAGATAATTCTGAAAGTCAAAAACGTCGCAGTTTGTCATAAAACAGAAGAGTAACATTTAGT